CGGGCTGTTGGATGGTTCTATAACGCCATCGTCAAGCATCTCGCGAACTTGCGTACGTATCGCTTCACGTTCTTTAGCCGACACGCGGTAGGGGTGCTGGTGTATTGGGCGTGCGTCCTCGTACGTGATGATCCTGTGTTGAGTGATGGACGTCTGGTGGATCTTTGAGCAACTTGCGAAGCAAGACCTGTACTCGAACAAGAGCGCTCGCAGCGCAGTCTGGTTATCGGTAGACAGATCAGGATTCATGTCAATGTTGCTCATTGATGTGTCTGCGTTATCCACTATTTCTGACGTGAGACAGTTGGTTACGTTTGCTACTTCGTGGGCAAACGCTATCGAAGTGCCACGGAAAAGGTGTCGATGCTCGTTGCTAAAGTTGGTAACGAGCAATTCAGATCGGCCGTCACGAACGCGTATTACACTTCTCGCTACACATATGCCTTGCTGCAGGAGGTGTTCTAAATTTGTCTCGGCCACCATATCGCCATCGCTCAAACCACAGCATGTTACGTCGACTAGAACACTGGCTCGGGGAGGAAGCGTCACGCTCTGTTCAGAAATACGGAGTACGTCGACACGCATTCCGTCATCCTGCACGTTGATTGCTCGCTGGGCTGAGAACGTGACGCGGCGCTCTTGCAGATCAATGATAGCTCCATTTTTCTGTAGAAAATCAACTCCCAGAATGACGTCACGGGAGCATTCACGTAAAACAAGGCAGCTTGCTACGAATGTGTACCCTTGAATCTGTACTCTAATTGTGCAGGCGCCCAGTGGAGTTACAACATGGCCACCAGCTGTCCGAATCTGCGAGTTATGCCACGGCGTGATTACTTTCTTCAGCTGCGTTGTCATTTTCCCGCTCAGTATGGAATAGTCTGCGCCGGTGTCCACTAACGCATTAACTACACAACCATCAATTGTTACTGCTATGTCGAGTGAAAGCCGACTATCCTTTGCAGCAGCAGGTGATGTCAGACCTGTTTCTGTACGGTTCTGCGTCAATAGGAGGTCTTCAGCGCTTCGACGTTCAGCGACCCCGCCCCCAGAGGTCGCTTCGGCTAGTTTTCCCGGCGGGGGGTGGGAGATCGTGCGGTAGAATACCGCTGGGGCATTGATGAAAATCGCCTCGGTGATGGCGAGCGAGACTGGCGCCCGGCAGACGGTGGTGCATGTTGCTGGGAGAGGTAGTTTTGGATGTCGCGTGGTCTCTGACCGTAACGGGGGGGCGGCGAGTACGCAGAGAAGCCTCGAAGCCCAAGACGGCGATAAGGACACTGGCGGTACAAGTGATCAGCTTCTTCGCAGTGAAAGCATAGAGGCCGGTGATCGGGTGTGCGCCAGACATCAGACTTCCGAGGATACGAGTGCCGATCGTTGATGTACTGGACCGGTTGCACCGAACGATGGGCAACAGAAGCACCACGGACAAAGGGCAGGGGCGGTAGCGTGTACGTGCCTTCGTAGTATGGTATGTGCTCCGCTGACTCGAGTGAAACTGCAGGGACAGGATGAACGAACAATGGCGGCGATGCAGCAGGGCGTTTCAAGGCTTCCGCGTAGGTTGTCTTACGGTGGTATTCAGCAGGAGCTGGCGCAGCTGTATCAGGAGGCAAGGTGTCCCGGAGGGCCTGGTGCAGCTCATCTTTGATTACAAATGCAATAGAGCTAACCGTAGGATGAGGTGTTACACCAGCCTTTTGCAACTCTTCACGTACGATATTACGGATGAGTTCACGTAAGGAGTCATTGCTGGTCCCAGCGGCGGCGAAAATGTCAGCAGTGGACATGCCACTGACTTGCCTGTCGTATTGGTTCGATCGCTGCTGTAGCATTTTTTCCATTGTCACGGCTTCAGACGAGAACTCCGCGACCGTCTTCGGAGGGCTTCGCACGAGGCCGGCGAAAAGCTGGTCCTTGACACCACGCATCAAGTGACGCAACTTCTTGTCCTCCGTCATTCTTGAATCTGCCCGTCGGAAGAGACGCGTCATGTCTTCGACGTACGCGGTCACAGTTTCGTTTGGCGACTGGACGCGGGCAAGAATAGCTCGTTCAGCTCTTTCTTGGCGGTCAGCGCTGGCATGTCTGCAGAAGTCTACGACAGAATTCGGGCGACGTCGTCAGCTGCTCCTCCCGACTTTGATACCACGTACGTGCCCCGTCTTCGAGATAGAAGTAGACACGACCCAGTTTCGCCGCGTCGTCCCACTGATTCAAGTTTGCTACGCGCTCGAAGTCTGCCAACCAGTCCTCAACGTCTTCGCTCTCCGTACCATGGAACGTCGTCGGTGCCCGTGGGCTTTCCAACGTATATCGGTTCGACGACGTGCTTCCCGTGCCGGTTGGCAAGGTTTGTACCGAAGTGCTGGTCATGTTTGTTGACGTAGTGGGAGCAGTATCGTTGACTTCCGGAGGCAATCCCCTGATTCGGCGGCTGGTCCGATGCACGGGAGTATTGACTGGCACTGGGCTCGTATTACGGCTTCCTGGGGGGGGGGGGGGGGGGGTCTGCAGCATCCGCGAGACTACTTAGCACCGTCCACCAGTTTGTCACGATGAGTCACAAGTACTGGGAAATATATTGAACGACCGGGACAATGCGTCAGTCGTGACTGGCTCTCGAGCCGAGAAGAGACACGCAAATCTTCTTTCTTTCCTCCAGATGGTAGAGCCGCTCTTGCAGTCAACCCACTACGTGTGGGTGGCAATATTATAATGTAGCTCACGATGCCATCCTCACTTCTATCGCAGCAATGGGCATTGGTGGACGAATGTTTCAATGGATAAAATATTATATAACTGGCAGGGGTTTCTTTGTACAAACATATGAGGGTACAACTGCCCAACATTACACCTACTGCGGAGTACCTCAGGGAGGTGTTTTAAGCCCCACATTGTTCAATGTGGCCCTCATTGGTCTGGTGAAGGTTCTGCCAAAGTCGGTGTGCCTATCCATATACGCCGATGATATTTGCCTCTGGAGTGCTGCAGTTACTCGCCCTCAGGTGCGTGCACGAATACAGCGGGCAGCAACCCTCACAACAGCCTACCTTCAGAAACAAGGCCTAAATATATCAATTGTGAAGTGCGCATTGATGGCGTTTACACGCAAACCAATGACGCCATACCCTGTTTGCATCAATGGGCAGAGTGTCAAATATGCACGGACGCATCGTTTCCTGGGCATAATAATCGACAGAAGTCTTTCGTGGAGCACACATTGTGCGTACTTGAAGAAGAGACTGCTATCTATTGTGCATATCATGAAATTCTTGTGCGGTAAAGCATGGGGAACTTCTGTGGCCTCCATGCTACAGCTGTACAGGGCCCTATTTCTGGGTCTATTGCGCTACAGCTTGCCGGTACTGACTAACACTTGCAAATCGAATACTCATTCATTGGAGAGTTTGCAGGGCCAGGCACTGCGTATCTGCCTAGGACTGCCCCTATGCGCTTCTACTTATGCCACAATCATGCTTACCAAAGACCATCCGGTCAGGACATATATAGTTGTGGATTGCCTCAGAGCGCACATTCGACATGCTAGCCGTGTCCCCGACCACCACTTCGCCCTTCTACCTTCCGGAAGACCACGTGCTACGTTTTCAGACGTCATAGCCAAGCACCTAAACAGCATTCCATCAGGATATACGCCAGCTGCGAGAATGGCATGCCCTTTGTGGTGCCTCGACCAGCCGCAAGTACGTCTAGAAATTCCGGGAATCAAAAAGAAAAGCAGTCACTCCAGAGTAGCATTGAAGCAAGCAACACTGCTATTATTACATGAGTTGTACTTAGACCGAACGCAGATATACACTGATGGGTCCGTCTCATCCAGCAGCTCATCAGGTGCCGCTGTAATTTCGGCTGCGGAAATGACAATCTAGTTTAGGTTGTCGCATATGACTACATCTACAGCATCAGAGCTTGCTGCTATAAGGGCTGCTTTACAATATCTCGTTCAAGAACGTCCAGGAAAATGGGTCATATTCTGTGATTCGAAGGCAGCGCTTCAGAGTTTACAGTCTGCCATGCGTAGGAGGAGCCATGACCAACTGGTACAAGAAATAAGACTGCCATCATGAAGCTCTAGCACGAGGGCATGATATTATATATCAATGGCTGCCTGGACATATCGGTATTACCGGAAATCAATTAGCCGATGATGCAGCCCGCTCAGCCCATGAAGAAACCCGTGTAGTCCCGATTCCTCTATCAAGGAATGAGGCAGCAAGACAACTTTACCTGCTGGCTCGAGATCTCACACGCACGTTCTGGTCGTCTACCAGCTTCCAAAGGTGTCAATTTTATGAACTGGATCCTTCGCTCAAGCTAAAGCTACCATCACAACTTTCCCGCTCCGATGCGACACTGTTATGCCGCCTTTGGTTGGGTGTTGCATTCACAAAGGTGTACTCCTTTCGCATTGGTATGGCAGACACTCCTACATGCGACTACTGCAGAGCTGAAGAGACCATCGAACACGTCCTGTGCAGCTGCGCTTGCAACGACACACAGCGATGCCAGCTACGGATGGTTTTGAATCGACTTGACCCCGGACCATTTTGTGTGCAGAAGGTACTAGGACCTTGGGCATCTGCCTCAGTTGCGCAGAAAGCAATTAAAGCACTGCTACTTTACCTTAAGTCAACAAACCTGAGCGACCACCTGTAAACTGTGTGTGCTCCCCGAGTGTGCTCGCGATTGTGTGTACCTTCTCATCTTTCGGCAACCTCTTTTCTCCCCTTTATCCCTTCCCCAGTGCAGGGTAGCAAACCGGATGTGCGTCTGGTTAACCTCCCTGCCTTTCCTTGTATTTTTATCTCTCTCTCTCTCTCCTCCACAGTGGTGACTTATTCCTAAATTTAGCGATTTATTATTACCACTCCATTGCATACCATCTGCGCTGCTCATATGAGCTAGCGTAGTAGTCTGATCCTATAGTACAATGCTAATCGCAGTCCGGTGTTTCTGGTACAATACATAGGTTGTCTTTACCTGAACTTCCAGTATTGAGGGTCGTTCTTGGACAAGGTCGTGTGGTTCGAGTACCGCGTAATTTCTCTCGAATTCATCGCCCATACGTCGAAGCCAGCGTCGGCAAACAGAAAGCCTGCAATAAATCATGACACAATAATTAATTAATTAATTCCTCACAATGAAAAGATGTCGACGGTAAATATGTAAGATATGTAGCCAGGAGGTCACCCAGTGCACTGCATAATGTCAATGTGCCCATTGAAGTGTTTGTTCATGACGAGAGCGTGGAACCGAACCGAAAATGTCGAAGTTAGATTATGAATCTTTAATTACGAAGTCGCCTTTTTAGCGAGAAGGTACTTATGGCGAGTGACATAAATAGCGATCACGGAAAATTTAAATGGTCCCAGCTATTTTGGATGGCTTGTATATCGTTCCGTTCTGTTAAAAAGATGGAGTTTTGAGGACTGGAGAGATGGAGTTTTCTTGTTCTACGCAAGCTTTACGCAAACACGAAGGAATGAATTGGGGGTGTTAATTATACTGTTAATTGTAATTGCAGTAATTGTGATATATATGTAAAGAAAGTAACGTGGGCGAAAAGACAACTCAATGCCGACAGGGGCCGAACCTAGAACTTTCGAATAACGCGCACGATACTCTAACTGAGCTGCAGTGTCGATTGTCCTCCTTCCTTTCTTCACGAGTGAATTTCGACCACTCATTTGCTTAAGGCCCTTCAAGGTATAGACACGCGTGCAGGATAAGTAGGTTAAGAGTGTAAATTTCAAAGGTTCGTTCTATTTCTTAGACGCAATGAGAACTATTAACGAGTTCTCATTATTGATCAAGTTCTTATTTATGAGTTCTCATAAGTATATTATTTGTGATGAACATTGTAGCATAACATGGATTGCTCTTGTTTTCGCTAGATGTGCAACTGCCATTGTGGCACTGCAGCTTTCAACACCATTACACTAATATGTGCTTCTGATCACAGCACTTTAGGACGCATACAGTTCACATGTCTCTGCAAAGAGATTAAAGGGATACTGAACGAAATTCATAGCATATCCACGGAGTGAATGATGATGAGTTGGGCGAATCGTCCGTCCGTCCATCCGTTCAATTGTCTGTTCATTCGCGCATGCGTCCATACGTACGATCGCGTTCGAGAATGCAGACGGTGTGCAGATAACACTGACGAGACGCGAGCCAAGAAGCCGAGCGCAAGCGTCTTCAACGCACCCGCCGCTCTGCTTCATTCATGCCCCACCAACGATCCGCCACGTACGGTGACTATCCAGGAGACTGAGAGAAGCACTTGTGCTCCGCGTACCCAGGTACAGCCCGCGCAGCAGCCAATCCGAGAGTAGCTGTGCAGCGCCATCTAGAATATTTTCACTCAACTGCAGTTTGTATGTGGATGGATGGATGGATGGATGGATGGATGGATGGATGGATGGATGGATGGATGGATGGATGGATGGATGGATGGATGGACGGACGGACGGAAGGACGGACGGACGGACGGACGGACGGACGGACGGATGGATGGATGGATGGATGGATGGATGGATGGATGGATGGATGGATGGATGGATGGATGGATGAATGGATGGATGGATGAATGGATGGATGGATGGATATGGCTACACCCTTTAGATCGGGTGGTGGCTCGTGCCACCAAGCCGTAATACTTAATGAACCAAAAACTAGATTTATTTTTTCCTTTAAATAGTGAGGTTGAGGATTCGTACTTTACAGTGAAGCATTTAATTTTCACTCGTGCCTTGACTTTAGCCACCAATCAGATAACCTCCTAGTTAATTCTACCCGCTTAAAGTCTAGTTTGCCCTCCCTGTCTCTAAACCAGAGTGCTTTAAAAAAACTCTGCGCCATAAACTTGAACTACAGGGTGAAGCCCTTTACAGAACATTATCAAGTGTTCGGCAGTTTCTTCTTCCTCTCCACACGCATTGCATACCGTGTCTACCCCTTCGTATTTGGCCCAATATGTCTGTTCGCAATACTCCCGTCCTGGCCTCAAACAGTAGAGAACTACCCCGAGTATTATCATAGATCCTTTCCTTGGCTATTTCCTGCTTAAAAGTTCAAAAGAGCTCTATTGCGGACTTCTTAATCATGCCAGTTCTCCACATATCGGTCTCAGTTTCCTTCACCTTGTTCTGAACCGATAATTCTTTTTGGTTTGGACCCCTGCTGTTTTCCAAGTATTTACCAGTCACTTTTCTGGTTCGCTTGATTCATTTTCTATCGACATTCCTCATGTACAACTAGCTGAAAACCTTCCTAGCCCAATGCTCCTCCCTCATTTCTCTCCATCGCTTCTCAACTTTTATCTTGCTGCTCGCTTCCCTGCCTTCAAATGATGTCCATCCAATATCACCTTGAGCTCCCTGATTTGGTGTATTCCCGTGAGCTCCTAAAGCAAGCCTACCTATTCCACGTTGCTTAATTTCTAATCATGCTTGAACTTCTGATCTCATGCACAAGACCGCATTGCTGAACGTCAGACCAGGAACCATGACCCCTTTCCATATTCCTCTCACAACATCGTACCTATTGTAGTTACACACTGCCCTGTTTTTCATTACCGCTCCATTCCTGTTACCTTTAGTCGCCACGTATATTTCGTGTTCCCTTATATACTCGGCCCCATTGCTTATCCGTACGCCCAGATATTTGTATATATCTGTTATCTCTTGCTTGGCCTCTTGTATTCTAAGCTCACTACCTTCATTGTCATTAAAAGTCATGACTGCTGTTTTTTCCATGCTGTATCTGAAATCTAACCTATCTACCTCATTACCGCTGATGTCCATCAATCTCATCAAATCTTCCTTGTTGTCGGCCATTAGCACTATATCATCTGCGTACATCAATGCTGGTAGTGCCTCTTCAATGAGTTTTCCTTGTTTGACGAAAGAGAGGTTGAAGCCCAGTCCACTTCCCTGCAATTTGGCCTCTAATCCTTGTAGGTACATCATGAATAATAAGGGTGACAGAGGACACCCCTGCCTAAGCCCCCGTTTTACCTCTGCAGGCTTGGATACCTGTTTTTCACACTTTTTTATAACTACCTTGCTACCTTTATAGATATCCTTTAAAATATTAGTGACTCCATCTTCCACGCCTGGTGTCCATTATTCCCCAAGCACGCTATCGTACGCTCCCTTGATATCCAAAAATGCTAGTCACAGGGGTTTGTGTTTTGTTTTCTGTTATTTCGATTTTTCGATGCGCTGTGTCACTGAGAACAGATTGTCTTCCAACCTCCTGTGTTTCCGAAACCCATTCTATAGTTCCCCCAGCACCCCCCATCCTCTATCCATGTCTGCAGTCTTTCCTTTATAATCTGCATCGCCAGCCTGTAGACCACTGATGTCACTGTTATAGGACGGTAGTTGTTTATGTCAGCTTTGTCCCCCTTTTCTTAATAGATCATGCTCATCCTGCTAAGTTTCCATCCATCGGGAACTTCACCATTGATTTTTACTTTGCTCACTGCCTCTCTCAAAGCGTGCTTAGACTTCGGACTTAATGCCTTTATCAGCATAATTGGAATGCCATCTGGGCCTGCTGATGTACTACTAGGAACCCTCTTCTCAGCCCTTTACCACTCTCCTTGTGAAAATGGAGCCATTGCGCCACTTGATTCATCCTTGTCTATGTGGTGCATAAAGCACTTCGTTTTTGAAATTTTTCTGTCACCCTTGTTCTTATATATTAAATAGCTTCGTCCCCTTCTAGCCTAGCACCTTGAGCTGTAGTTATAAACCTCTTCTCTAGGGTTGTCTCATTTTTTAGGGAGTTTGGATCGTTCCAAAATCTTGCAGCTGCCTTTCTATCTTCTTTGTGTACGTATGTAACTGCGCGGTAGTAAACACGGACGACAAGAAGATACAAGGACAAGCGCAGACTATCAACTGAAGGTTTATTTTTCACAAACCACATATATATGACTGAAACAGAAACAGAAAACACGAAAATCTACAAAAAAAATGATGACTTAGCACTTAACAATCGACAAAACGTGAACGTTTGACAAAAGCAGATTCAAGGACCATGTGCGCACTGTGCGCACTGGCAATGAGGGTTTTTTAGCTCAGCACGTCAGTAGGTGTGGCTGCCTTGCGCAGTTCGAAAGCACGGTCGTAATGTTCAGGCACAAAGACGATCATACCCGTATGATTGTCGAAGCGGAAAAAATGGCACGGGAACCAGAACACTGCGTCAGCAAACCGTCGTTAGCTCTTTTAGATAAAGAGCTACGGTATCTGGCAAGTGGCGCACATGGTCCTTGAATCTGCTTTTGTCAAACGTTCACGTTTTGTCGATTGTTAAGTGCTAAGTCATCATTTTTTTTTGTAGATTTTCGTGTTTTCTGTTTCTGTTTCAGTCATATATATGTGGTTTGTGAAAAATAAACCTTCAGTTGATAGTCTGCGCTTGTCCTTGTATCTTCTTGTCGTCCGTGTTTACTACCGCGCAGTTACATACGTCGATCATGAATCACCAACTCGCCCAATCGTCCACCTTGGTTTCTTTGTGTACTTCTGCCAGCCACATATCTTCCTCTCTTCTAATCTTGTCATTGATCAGAAGGGATGCATCCCTTCTACAGCTTAGAAAGATTTCCCATTTTCTTTCAACATCATCTGTCAGTTCACCCCGCTGCTAAGCATGTCTGTGTTCCCTAGAGGCTTCCTGACGTTTTGATATGGCTCTCTTAACTTCCTCATTCCACCAACCTTTGGGTTTGTGTCTTTTTTTTCCGGGGTGACTTGTCACGTGCCTTAGCAAGCTCTAGCTCAAACAGTCTAATTAGATTCGTGTATGTCCACACTGTTTTATTATCCTCGGTGATTACTTTCTCATTTTGTTTAGTGGCTATTTCAATTTGCCTTCCTGAATAAAAATTTTTCCTGTAGTTGCTCATCTTGTCTCCTTACCACTTTCACTGCTCTTCCAAAACTTAGCTTGATACGTTTGTGATCACTACCCAGACTTCTGAAGCCACCTTCATCTATGTGCATTCCCCTGAGCTTATCATACATCCTATGTGACATTAGTGCGTAATCTATCGTCGACTGCAGCCTTCCTCCTCCCATGTTATTTGCCCTTCACTCTTCTCGGCACTGTTGCAAATGATCAAATCATGCCTTTCACATGTATCCATGATCATTTTGCCTGTCGGGTTGGTATATCCATCTATATCTTCTGTGTGCGCATTCATATCTCCTAGTATAATTATCTCGCACTCTCCTCCTAACTCCTCAATGTCCTTTGGTATACACTCTACCATTGCCTGGTTTTTTTCTCTGGCCTTTGCTCCCGTCCACAAGTACACGAAACCAAGGAGGGTCATTTGACCTGCCACTTTCCCTTTTAGCCATAAATGTTCCTTGCACTCCTGCTTGACCCTTTGCCAGTCTGTACTTTTATGAATGAATGCCCCAATACCACCCCCCTTTCTCCTGCCTTCGGTTCTATTACAATATTCCCACGCGTAGTCCGGATTGTTAGGAGGTTGTTCCATGTCCCTAAGATGGGTTTCTACAAAACCGTATATCATCGGCCTCTCATCCTTTAGCTGTGCTTCTATCTCTTCCCACTTCAGCCTGTTCCTGCCACCCTGCATGTTAATATACCATATGTATGAATTGGCTCGGCGCTCGTGGCTACGTCTATTTCTGCCACGGACTCTTACTATCTTAGATACTGGTGCCACTTTGGAATCTTATCTCCCCATACCACCCGTCAAAGAGTCTCCCTAATTGTTTTCCTCGTTACTAGCTGTTCTGCACCGCGAAGGGCCCGTGTGCCCCCCAAAAAAGCTACTGCACGTCCTGCAAGTCTCCGACCCACCTCATGACCTAGCCGCCTATCGAAGGGAATTCTGTCTCGTTGAAAACCACCCCACCTATGCACCTCTCTGTTTATTTCCACCACCTCAAAGCCTTTCTCTCGACCCATCCGCCATATCTCTTGGTTTGCGTTTACAACCGCTCTTTGCAGGTTGCTGTCACGCACCGGTACCTCCGGTATCGTGCATATCACTACCTGTACCTGAGGAGAAGTGGCGCGCATGTCATCAACCCATTTTGCCCGTGTGGTTGCTAGTCCTGCTGTATCTTCATTTAAGACATCGTTTAAACTGCCTGGAATTATCACGAGGTTTCGTCTATCAGCTGTAGTTTTGAGTTTTGTGCTCGCTTGCCTCATGACTGCTTCCAGCTTGCGTCCTGGGAACGCCCCTACTGCAACCCTCTTGTCGCCTCTTACCCTCTCTGATTGCTTCTGTGCATCGATTTAAATTCGAGGCCCCGGCGATTATCACATGCTGTGACTTTTCAGTTGGAGCGTCCTGCACCTAGGGGTTACTTGCACCTGTTACGCCGGCTGCTTTGTCCCCTCCCAGCCCCACCACTACTTCGCTGAAGCTGGGCCTTACGACAATTGAGCCGACTGAACCTGTTTTTTTTTCAAACTTGCTTGCTCTTTCTTCTTCGCCGTTCTGGTTGCTGGTTCCCTACTGTTCTCACCGTAGGCCGCTCCTCTGTTCACCTTGGCTAGTGCTTCCTCAGTGGACTTCAGCCTTCCTCCCATTGCCCTCGCTTTCTCTTGCTCTGTCGCCAACGCAGTCTCGAGCTCGGCGATTCACATCAGCAGTTCACTCTGGGCAACCATCATTTTCTCTATTTTTTCCTCGACCTCACATTGCCTACACTTCCCGTCAGCCTCTTCTCCGTCCGCTTCTACACTTGAATCCACTTTCAAGCCCACCCCGCATCCTGAACACTTCACAGTCTTTTTAACCATGTCTTTCTGACAGCAGTTGTCCCTATGACTTGTTTCACTCGATAATTACAAACCTCTAGCCCTGCCCTACGAAAAAGAGAAAGTCTAAACTCTACTTCAAAAATTTGCGTGTTCAATGTATGTGCACCTCCGCCACTGGTGTGGCAAAAAAACAACAATAAAAACAGAAAAATCAAGCACACACACACGCACCAACTAATAAATACCTGGTGACTGACCCTCGAAAAAGCTGTACAATAAAATAAATGCTACAAAGATTGTAACAGCTCTCTTATTAATTATAAAGACAAGCTCAAACATGCAAAACCACTTATCTGCGCAGTCGATCGGGAGCGCTCAAAGAACACGTCCATCCACCGTGACAGTCCTAACCGAACTCTCTTTTATGAGACAGCGCCGTCTATTATACTGTTCGAGAGATACTACCTTCTTTTCTTTCTCGCCTTTTCTTCTCTTGGTTACGCGTGGTGCATGACGAAGTCAGACTAAGAGGAGCTTCTCCTAAAATTGGAAAAACTGACGAAACTTCTAAAATCGACTTGAAAGATGCCAGTGTTCCGATAAACAGAGTTATTTTTCCCGTATTTTTGAACAGTTGGTTGTATGTTTATTGGATAGTCAGCGCGTGGCGTCTGCTCGCGGGCGCGAGCCATGACGTCACACTCACTGAGGAGCATGCAGTATGTACGTGCTCTTGTCATCCTCCTCTTTTTCTCCGCCTCTCCTTTCATTCCACTCTTTCCCTTCTGCAAAAGCGCTGGTTCTTTGCCTCGTCCGGAAACATTGTTCGCTGCTGTTGCTGTTCACACCGGTTTTGGGAACCGAAGAGGCAGTTGAGCGAGTGGAGAGACGCAGGCGACAACTGGCAATGTTGACTTTCCTGTTTCGAGTGTGTGTGACGTCACGAAACGTCACCTTTTCTAGTTCACGGCGCGGCCGCTAGACGCGGCAATTTGTGAAAAAAAAACGCATTAACTTCGTTATTTTTCAATATTTTCTGTCTGGAATGAATGTTGCGTCTATCGATTTCAGGACCCAATCTTTCAATTTGGATGAAAATTTCGGCAGCGATAATTTCGTGTTAAACACTTGCCTGGGCACTGCGAAGGGTAGTTCAGAAACCAGAGGTCCGAGGCGCCTGCAATCACTGGAATGAACAACACGGGGTGGCGTGTCGTGCTGTTTTGTTCATTCGGAGCGGTCGCGTTGTCACGGCGTCCATGGGGCACTCGGTTCACTTCGATGACGTAACCGTCTTCCGTGGTCAGTGGCTGATTTCGCAAGGATAGTCGAAGTATCTGATTAGCTCGCACTGCAGTGGTAAGGTTTGTTGAGGAGAACAAGAAAAGAAAAACGCACGTGTCCTTTTAAGTGTATATGCTCACAGATATATGCAGATTGAAAAATTGTTGCTACCGCATCTTCCGCACTGAGTGGCTGCTACCTACATGACAAAACGAATGAAAGATACACATGGACGTCCTTTCATGTGCATGGTTCTTGCATTAATTAACGAGACAGTTGAGTTTGTATATCATTTAATATTTCAGTCGCAACAATTTGGAAACTATTACGAGTACACGTTCTTGGAAGTACTTTTTCATGAGATTTTTCGATGGATTCGTCATGTTAACTACATCAAACGGAATACAGCGCAACTAATCAGGACGTTGAACGAATATCGTACATTGTTTCCTCCTAAGCGTGAGTTGCACTTTTCTGCCGTGCAGTCCACACTCCACTACTGCCTGCTTGACTGTAACGTGACTTATCAAACCAATATGGAATCACTATAAGGAATGCAGAAAGGTGTATCGGTGTTGTTCATAACCCCTCTATGAGTGAACACACTTCTGAGCACTTTTAGTAGTGCCGTATTTTGCACATCAGGAATATGTATGAACAAAAATTATCTGAAAAAAAAATTTTTTTTTTAGAATTTAAGAGTAACCGCGAGAACGTCTTTTCGACGTACATCAATGCCACAGCCAATTATACTTTAGCGTCTTGGGACCTTGTTAAACCGAAAACGGGAACCAACTTCCGAAAGCAATCATTGCAAAGGCAAATTCCTAATTGCTTTAATGATGAACATGTGCTATACCATATTATGGAATATTCTCCGACTATGTCAACATTCACAGAAGAATAAAAAGATACCTTCTCGGAAAATAATTTATGATGTTAAACTGCTACATTGTGTTACTAAATTTTCTTTGGTTTATGAATTTGTTGCTGTGCTATCAATAAAAATATCCTTCTCCAATTATTGAATAAACAGTGTATCTATACATTTAATAATTATCGTTTGTAGTTATTCGGTCTGTAGCTCAGTAATGTGCTCTAATAAACTGTTACATTTTAATTGCACTATATATATATATATATATATATAGATAGATAGATAGATAGATAGATAGATAGATAATAGATAGATAGATAGATAGATAGATAGATAGATAGATAGATAATAGATAGATAGTCTCCGCCTCTCCTTGCATTCCACTCTTTCCCTTCTGCAAAAGCGCTGGTTCTTTGCCTCATCCGAAAACATTGTTCGCTGCTGTTGCTGTTCACACCAGTTTTGGGTACCGAAGAGGCAGTTGAGCGAGTCGAGAGACGCAGGCGACAGCTGGCAATGTTGACTTTCCCGTTTAGAGTGTGTGTGACGTCACGAAACGTCACCTTTTCTAGTTCACGGCGCGGCCGCTAGACGCGGCAATTTGTGAAAAACGCATTAACTTCATTATTTTGCAATATTTTCTGTCTGGAATGAATGTTGTGTCTATCGATTTCAGGACCCAATCTTTCAATTTGGATGAAAATTTCGGCAGCAAGAATTTTGCGTTAAACCCTTGCCTGGGCACTGCGAAGGGTAGTTCAGGAACCAGAGGTCCGAGGCGCCTGCAACCGCTGGAACGAACAGCACGGGGTGGCGTGTTGTGCTGTTTTGTTCATTCGGAGCGGTCGCGTTGTCACGGCGTCCATGGGGCACTCGGTCCACTTCAATGACGTAACCGTCTTCCGTGGTCACGTGGCTGATTTCGCAAGGATAGTCGAAGTATCTGATTAGCTCGCACTGCAGTGGTAAGGTTTGTTGAGGAGAACAAAAAAAAAGAAAAACGCATGTGTCCTTTTAAGTGTATGTGCTCACAGATATATGCAGATTGAAAAATTGTTGCTACCGCATCTTCCGCACTGAGTGGCTGCTACCTATATCACAAAACGGATGAAAGATACACATGGACGTCCTTTCATGTGCATGGTTCTTGTATTAATTAACTAGACAGTTGAGTTTGTATATCATTTATTATTTCAGTCGCAACAATTCGGAAACTATTACGAGTACACGTTCTTGGAAGTACTTTTTCATGAGATTTTGTGATGGATTCATCATGTTAACTACATCAAATGGAACACAGCGCAACTAATCAGGACGTTGAGCGAATATCGTACATTGTTTCCTCCTAAGCGTGAGTTGCACTTTTCTGCCGTGCAGTCCACACTCCACTACTGCCTGCTTGACTATAACGTGACTTATCAAACCAATATTGAATCACTATTAGGAATGCAGAAAGGTGTATCAGTGTTGTTCATAACCCCTCTATAGGTGAACACACTTCTGAGCACTTTGAGCAGTGCCGAATTTCGCACATCAGGAATATGTATGAACAAAAATTATCTGAAAAAAAAACATTTTTTTTTTTAGAATTTAAGAGTAACCGCGAGAACGTCTTTTCGACGTACATCAATGCCACAGCTCCTAAAGTACTTTAGCGTCTTGGGACCTTGTTAAACCGAAAACGGGAATCAACTTCGGAAAGCAATCACTGCAAAGGCAAATTCCTAATTGCTTTAATGATGAACATGTGCTATACCATATTATGGAATATTCTCCGACTATGTCAACATTCACAGAAGAATAAAAAACACCTTCTCGGAAATTATTTTATAATGTTAAACTGCTACATTGTGTTACTAAATTTTCTTTGGTTTATGAATTTGTTGCTGTGCTATCAATAAAAATATTCTTCTCCAATTATTGAAAAAACAGTGTATCTATACATTTAATAATTATCGTTTGTAGTTATTCGGTCTATAGCTCAGTAATATGCTCTAATAAACTATTACATTTTTAATTGCACGATTTATATACATGCATGTATATATGTATATATATGCCTGTTTTTTCCCGCAGTTTTCTGCCGTTGTCTGCTCTACTCGTGGGGCCGGGAGCCTAGTCAGGCGAATACAAACACGCCTTTCGCTCCGGCACCATGAGAATTCATCATTTTGTATATTTTCAAAAGAAAATGAACGTCAAACTTCAATTACATGACTCGTAAAGGTTCGTTTCTCGCTCCGAATATCTGCTGGTGTATCCTCTACTCCTCTTCATTATCTGACCCACTCTGTTTACCTTTGTATCACTTTGAGTAACCCCTATCATTTTTCGTTCCGTCGCACTCCAGGTATTCCTTAGCTTCTCCAGTTATTTTATTATTCTCCTGTTCATTTTTTTTGACATTTTAGAACTGGCAAAATGCGACGACTTTATAATCTCCCCTTTATTTACAGTACTTAAGGCCTGCTGGTGACGAGGTGGAGAATGCCTACCATGTATGCGCACCTTCCCATCTTTCAACTTCGATCCATTGCTTTTACGTAAGTAGGCTTCCCTTTTAATATTAGGCATAGATACAATCGCATCCTCAAATCTTGGTGAACTATCTTTTGCATGAACAAGCTTCCCTGTTCATTTCACCTAGACAGTCATACCTTTGCATTGATTCAAAGGTCCGATTATGTATTACAAATGCTCGCTCATTCGCTAGACCTTTTACATCGTTAATGTCTTCTGCATATTAGTTTTCGAGACTGCTTCGACTTTTCATTGTCTACGGTTTTTAAGGAACCATGCGTAGAATTCAATCAAAAGACTGTCTTACGGGAGTTAACGCTGCCTGCAGAGTCAGCTCATCTTCGGCGGTGCAGCCGATCCAAGTCGAAGCCAGGACGAATAGCGCCACCGCCATGGAGATTGCAAAGAGTCGAAGGGTCGCCATTATCAACTGCTGATTTATGGCTTGCGCAGCAGTATTTAGAGCCCTTCGTACATTGCCTTGCAATCGTGCTCCACCAGTGAGCGTGCACGTGGATAGGCTGTAGATCACATTTTTCAGGTGTTTTCGCCTAGATTATTCAGGCGACACAGTACTATGGGCCTATGCGCAGAGCACCCCGACACTCACGAACACTGCAGTTACAGCTGGTGCACACCTGTTTATGTTTTTTACTGCTCGTGCATATTCGCGCTGGGTTCACGGTGTCGGGAAGTATACATCGATACAGTTTGAGGCATTAATTCACAGCCTGCCTCGGGGCGTCATGCCAGGCATCGCACTCTGTGTGTGGCGAGAATATACTTCAGCGCACGAACAAGCGTACTTAATGAAGCTTTCTCAAGCTTTCTAATCTCGTACACGACCCCATTTCGTCGGACACCTGGCACAGGTCCGCACCGAACCTGTAATTTCGGAGCGGAAACACCTCTACTTATCTCGCCGCTGTGTCATCCGATGGCATGATTCATCGTGAGAACCTTCAATCAATTATCGGAGGCCCCTTTATAGTTAACCGACGCGCCACTTAAGTTAAGTGTTTGCCCTGAAATGACGGCTTACTAAGGTTTGTTGTTTTGATTCACGTCGCGATACACAGTAAGAAAGAAACAACGGCATATCCACGAGGTGAATGAAGACGAGTGGGGCGAATCGGACGGAGGGACAGGCGCACGGAAGCACTGACGGACGCTTCGCCCGACTCATCATCAATCACTCCACATATATGCCGTGACAGCGCTTTGATTGGCACGCAATGCGATGCAACTGGCTACTATATACGACGACTGTTACCGCGACGCGGCACATATGACCCACGACGTAGGAAACTTCGCCCTTAGAAATTCGTTTAACAGCCCGAGAGAGGAGAGCTCGTGGGGCTTACGTGAAATTGTGCTACTAGAAAATGTGACAACTCGCTTGATATATGTGGAAAGTATAAGACGACGAGAGGCAGTTTAATATTTCAACGAGTGTGTATTAAATGACGCCCTGGTGCTCTGTACTTGATGTTTTTTTTTTTACATCTGTACATTCATTAGTTGTGATATACCAGCGGCTGCTCTGTACATGTGGCATGCTCGTAAGCGGCGTGGTAATAATATGACGCTGTTGTCGTCCTCCAAAGCCAACGTGCTATAAAAAGCAGCTCTGGCGCCGGATGTGTACTTTCAAAATGACTCTTTTGGTTATTTCGGAGGTCTCTTGCAGCTGCTGAATACTTTAGCGGTCGACGTTCAAGGCCAACTTCTGTGTGGCTGTGCTTCGTGAGCAGTGTTTGTCTTGTGGCGTATATATATCGCCACGGTATAGCTCTCGGCGTTTCTATAATGTTTCTAGATGAAGTCCTGTCAAAGGTGGCACGATGCCAGCGCGACTGTTTCGTGTAATGGGCCTCATCTTTATTTTTTGGCCACGAATATGAAACAATGAAGTTCGCGATTTCGTTGGCAAAGCTCAAAGCCATTTCTTGCGCTGTTCACGTTGAAATGCGCTCAGCACAACCGTTACTGAAGGACTGGGGAACGACGGCAGTGACGTACGTGGCATCAACTATACCAACTGTCCAATGCTGTTGGCGATGCCCACTTGCATAAAATCACAGCGAAAAAAAATTCGAAATTTATGTATAGTTCAGCTCTATCACTCCGAAACCAAAGGAAGTGCGTCGCATGGGCAACCACGACAGTGATTCTCGCTCGTAGAATTCATTCCCACTTCTTCGCTTACCGAGGCGTCAATGACGCCAATGTTTGGGGTAAGTATGTAGGGTTTCCCCAGCGCTACTTAGAATGTTGCCGCAGGCAGATTGCGATATTCGGTGTGCGACATGTGCTACGCCTTATCGACTACCGCCAGCTTGTTTCAACTATCGAATTAGTCACGTAGCACCGCAGCGCCGCGCCAGCAAAATGTCGACGCACAGGCGACCCAGGGGGAGGGCATTGGCTCGCTAAGGCCAAAGTCCCTAAAACAAATTGTTTCTTTTTTAGTGACTTTACGCTCGGCAAGGCAGGGGTGACCCCTCGCGTGCCCAGCCGAAGTCATTCCTGTGTTTGTGAAATGTTTTAGCTGTATTAAGCTAATTGATGTGATTGCTTCTTGGTTATTTCTGTTAATTGCGTTATTTTAGTCCCTGTTCGTTCATTTTAACCAGGATATGAGCACTGCTGGCCTTGTGGTGGCCCTTAGTGAGCGCTTTGTTGGGAACCGGATCGTGCCTTATGTGATGCGCGGACAATCCACGTGTCCGAAGTGCTCGCCACTTGAAAACTGAGCGAGAAATACGGTAATCACTCGCAATCTCCAAGCCAGAGAAGTTGTCATAACGCTCGCATACACCTAAGGTCAGTTTCGCCAGTGCTAACGGATGCACCTTAACGCCGCCGTTCCGACACAGCACCATCACATGACTCGTGAGTGGTGGTGGTAGTGGTTAGAAGATGATAAAGGCACCTAATTTTGCTTACATGTAGATCAATAGTAATGGCCATGTACTAAGCCTTACACATAGTTTGATGTTTTGTTTATACTTGATTATTTCATTAATTATGAACAAAGTGCGACAATGTGTATCTTCTTGTATTTTTGTTCGTTTGTTGAAAAATTCAATCGTTTTTTGGTGTTTTGATTTTTTTTTCTTATATACAAATTGTATTCTGCTTGTATACTTTCTCCCGTTAAACCCCTTACTAGCCTATGGCTATGGGTCTAATCAGTGTTGTGCATTTCTCGAAATGTGGTCATAACAACCTCAAGGAAATGTAATGTAAAAACCTGGTCGGGAGCACGGCGCAGTGCCTGACTCGTGAGTATACTTCACACCACCCAACGACCCTCCGTGCACTTTCCCTTACCCTTCTTATGTTAGCGCTGTTGCTAGCTGTAGCAAGCAGTTGATATATCTTGAGCCACGCACGCCCACTTGCTGTTCTTTCTTGCGTCATTGTTTTGCTCTTCAGTAGCTATTACTCTGAACGCATTTTAATGCGAAGCTAAGATTATAGTTGCACATGGCCAGTTTAATACGTGCCATACCTCGATAATTAGGTCGGAATTTCTTCCAGGCGAACATGTTTTGCAAACTCACCGACTCCTATTTGTAAGAGTGACGAGTGAGTGAGTGTAATTGACGATGGTTTCAGCAAGACACTGCACGCATAAAAGAAATCATTTCTTGTGCTTCATTGCTTTTCGTTTGGGCTGCACAGCGTACTCAAGACCCCAGTCATGAAACGCTTCTCTCTCTTTCTCTCTCTCTCTCTCGTTCTCTCTCTCTCTCTCTCTCTCTCTATATATATATATATATATATATATATATATAATGTGTGTGTGTGGGGGAGGGGGGTGTTGACAAGGGGTACATTATGTCAATCCCATTCTCAAGAATAAATTTATGACCACTTTGTCTTACGCGTCTGTCCAAGTCGACGACCATCGTCATAAAGTTGGTATTGCCACACGCGACACCTAATCATTTTTTCCAACGTTCTACCAGGTGTGTATTGTACACGTATAACGAGCCTAGCAACGCGTGCATGAACATACGTATGTAGGGGTCAGACCCCTCAAAGACATATCCATATTGAAAAAAAATACATCTTGACACAGGATTTCGTCGGAAATCGTAGAAGGAGCATAGCAAGAAGTAAAGGTCCTGGCTAGTGCCTAATCACCTCTCTTGCGTGATGACTTTCGCCGATTCGCCGTTTGATAATATCGATGGCGACGTTGTGAAGGAAGTCGTTTCGTTTTGTGTCCGATTTGGAAGTCCCCGTGCCGGAAGTTCTTCTGTGGAATCACCCGCTTCTCGATAACACGTGGTCCCAGTCTGTCAATAAGGTCTTTGACGTCACGTGGGTCGGCGATGGTGTCGTCCTCTGACGCGAAGATCGCCCACGGTGTCGTGATGCGTTCCACCGGATAGGCCGGAGCTTCTTCCTGTGCAATCAACGTAGAAAATGAGCCATGATAAGAACCAAAAAAAATATTTACGCCGATTCCACAGTCCAACTTAACAATTAGATCCTCTCGTGTTTTCCGCGTGTACTCATTGATGCTGACGAGTGGACAATTTGTTATGACTTGACAAGATTGTTTTTGTGAATGAACATTTTTCGTGCTTGAATTTCACATTTTTTTATTGCTATTGATAACTTCATCGCGCAAATTATTGTGTAAGAGGAAAGGAGCATCTGAAGCCTTATCTACACAACCTCTCGATCCGTGCTCATGATGAACAATCTAATATTTTTTTTCTAGATGGTTCTCAGACTTAACAATTGAAAATCTTACGTCAGCAGCTCAAGTGTTTAAAAACGCTGTTGGATTGCTATAATCATAAAGATTACCTGGCCGTATCGCTTCTGGTTCTCCTTGGCGCCATGGTCGTACATGACGAAGTCTTTGGCTTTGTACACCTGTAAACAAGTGACGTTCAGTGACATATCCTGTGAACAATCTTGAATGTGCATGCGTGCCTCCTGATTCGAACTTTTATGGTGATATTAAAATGTTTATAATAAGTGGAGTTCCACTTAGCAGGCGGGCGCTAGATTGAGTGGGCATATCACCACACTACGCGGGTGATGGTGTGTTCGTATACCATTCTATTTTTTGGGGGCACCGTGAGCAGTGCGAAAGCGAGGTATGCAGGAATTTATGCTCCTCGATACTTTTGTCCCTGCTTGTAAGCGTTGTATTTCTTCGCGCGTGCGCCCCCCCCCCCCCCCCCCAAAAAAAAAAAAAACCTGTGCAATTCAATGCGTTTGCTTGGTGCACCACCTGGTTCGGCGTCACGGAAGTATGTTTTTTCACGGCTTCATGTCGATTACACCTTCTAATTGTAGCAGTCGCCAAAGCAACTCAAATATAAGCTCAAAGTGCCCTACAAAGTTATGAAACAACGCACAATCTGTACGCTGAAAGTGAGCACGCTGAAACATCTGTTCTTTTTGTGTGCCTGCGCTGTTTGATTCATGATGTGTCTCTGAGTCCGAAATCGCAATAATGTGCCTTACAAAGCACAGTGTTGCGAAGCATTAAAGGAATGCTGCCTGGTCGTCACTGTACTTGAGCAGTCACCGTCAAAAAGTTTTTCGTCGTTAGGTCACTAGACTTGGTGCTTGCTAAACAACTTTTTTTTTTGCTTCTCCACATCAACTGGTTTCCACAGAGGAGTTGTTGTCGACTGTGACATCGTCTTCATCAGACTGTTACTCGTCCTATATTATCGTATATTTATCGCAAAGTATACGACGACGTCATCACACGTCATGATTGTCGTAATACTCCAAAGACTCTAGACCAAACGTCTCAAACCCGTGGCCTGGCCTTGACGTGACCATTTCCTTTTCATTCACTGCTTTAACACGAAAGTGTTTTATGCTGGGGTCGACCAAGATTTCGTTGAGTCAGGTTCGTCACGGATATGACGATATCGAAACGGAAGTTAACAGATGAGAAAGGAAAAAAAGTCACAGCTTTGCCGCAAAGGCGAAGCGATGAATGCGATAGCAACGAATTGGAAGTCCCGTAACCGTATACAGTATCAATACGTGTCTCAACGAGTGTTGTAACAACTGTAACTCTCCTAGTTTCTTACGGGGCCTCCATGAAATATTCTCACAGATCCCTCTGTGAGTCCCGTATAGGCCTATCTACTTTTGAGGTCATACCTCAGTTGTATGGCACCACGGTAGATAAACCTATACAGGCTTTTTTTTACAATATAGACTATATATAAAAATGTTATACTTTCAGGCCTTTGTTTTCACAAGATACATCTATGCCAAGCCGACAAAACTTTCGTACGCCTTAAGTTACGTGCACAAAGTAATTAAGATAAAATTGTTATTTAACTTTATAATTATTAATTTTAGGACGGTTGTTTATGTAACCATTTTCCGAACGCGCTCTAGCACCCCATCTCGGACTGATAACGTTCCACTTCTGTAGCGGTACCAAATTAACAAACAGTGCTATGGTGAACTCGGACGCACGAAAACGCTTAGGCTGGTACATTCAACGTTTCGCGAGCATAATCATTTTGTAATACGACATAGAAAAAACGTCAAAACGATCGCTTACCCGTCTAAGATGGCGGCTCCCTTGAGTCTAAAATATGATAAACTAAGAGTTGTAGAATGGAGCAATTTATGGCATACCCATTTGTTTGAATATAGCAAAAAAAAAGACAATTGTGATTTGAGATTAAAAATCACTGAATTTCAAGTCCCCAATCGTTGTGGTATTTCACTCGCTTAACACTGTGGTGGCAGCCACCGCGGTTCTACTTCTCTCATTGCGTGTTTAGAAAAAAAAACGTGGGTAAAGATTAAGAGTACTAGGTGTACTCTACTATGGGAGAGCTTAAAGCCGTCCCTAAAATGACCAGCTTAATGATTTCTTTGCACTTCTTTCAGGTTTGACAAAGAACTGGATTAGTCCTACTCGGCAATCAGTCGGTTAAAGCCACCAATGGCTCCCACGTTTCAATGCACATATATTTCCCATAAAGTGAACGGGAAGGAGGGGAGGGGGGGAAGGGTGTTGCAGGGCTTCGTGGTAGCTCCGGTGGTAGAGCATCGGACGTGTTACTCATAAGGTAGCAGGCTCGGTCACTGATCGGGGCAAATATCTTTTCGTCCACTTTTTTATCTTCACCTTTACATTGAATTTGCTGTTCATAACATCCCCAATGATTTTCTTGTCATCATAGTCTGTTCATTCTCACATAGTCGCAATAGTGACATTGAGGGGTTTCGGCAGAGCGTTCTGAGCGAAGACCTGCACCCGAAATAAAAGTGTTCGCGTTACCTAAGCAAAAAAGAGAAAGGGGGGGGGGACTTATTTAAATAACATGTACTGTTTCCGGCACTTCAACGCGTCTTACCTGGTAGTAATGCCGAAGGTTTTGTATGGTCGTTCCGATTGGGTAGTGGCCAGCATACACTGGTACTCGTGTCTGAAAAGCAATATATGTAAATGGGAGAAAACAACACAGTTTGCCTCTTTTTTTTTTTCAACAGCGCTGTGTTCTCGTCTCTTCCATCCCCTCCTGTCGTTTGCGCTGTTAAGCACTTTCTTCGTGTAGCATGCAGAGAAGAATGTTGTACGCACTAACGTTTCTACGGCATGCATGTTAGTAAACTTCATATTTAATAACAAGAGCTAAACCGCACAAAAGTCACAGCTTTGCCGCAAGGGTGCAGCAATAAATGGGATAGAAACGTATTGGAACGACGTATGGAGAACGGTAAGCAGCTCGATATACTTGCAGCGAGCCGCTCAAACACAAAGGAGCACGAGAAAAACATTCAGGACGAGCACGAAACAACTGTCTCAGTTGGACAGTTGCAGTGTGCTGCTCAAACACGGGGAAAGATGCTAGAAAAGTACGCACAGATTTACACAGGATGAGCGCAAACTAACGACTACTTATGTTGTTACTTTGTGTTTGAGCATCGCGCTAAAATAACCGACTATGCTAAGCCGTGTAGACCTTTTTTTTTCTTAATAAAACGACCCTTCCGCGTCTAATGCCGCACAGTGGCGTTTGATGCGTTGTTTAGATATGTTTACCCAGCGTTCCATATTACGAATAAGTACAGAAATAAGTCATTTTTCATTGTGCGTCTGAAAGGCAGTTTTTAAACTGAGGCAAAATCTAGCAGCGTTGTTTTAAAGCGACCCTTCAGGCAATCTCGTGACCAGGTGTTAGTTACGGCACACGCTTAAGTACCTCTGAGCTCTGCGTACTTTCAGTGTTGAATAATATAAGTATAGCTTGCCGTTATCATTCCAAAAAAACGGATGCCACGTGCCCTATAGTTGTCTACGCCGGCGCGCTGATGAGTGAGGGATCGCAGATTTCAATCGCAGTGGCGAGTTTCCCAACTTTCTTCTGCTGCGTTAATTTTTTTTTCTTTGTGGATTTTGTTTATGTGTACATACATGTACATATTCGAAACAGGACGGCGAAGGGGATGGCGAAAACCCGCCGAGAATGTCCGTGATATCGCTATCATAATAACTTAAGTCAAACTGTAACATCGTTCAGTTCTAGCTAAAGCGCGTATATAAAGTGCGCAGTCTTGGCCACCTCTCGTGGACAACTTGCTTAGCCTATACTTCCGCTCGGCACGTCTGTTCGCGCCTAGCTTGGTCATGTCCTGTTACACCAGGTGAATAATTGCAATCTTGATTGAAATGTTTCGCACAAGTTTTCATACTATGCGACATCATTTTCGACGACTCCTGTTAGTGCGATAACGAGACAGTGGAAACTCGCTCGGTGAACTCATCTGTGATCAGACATCCTTAGAGGATCGGAAAACAGGAAAATGAAACGGCTTCATTGGTTTTACAACTTGATGCGAATGATTTGCCACCTTGAACACTTGCATTCTGTGCTCACCTCATTCAATTGAGTCGGGCTGGTCATGCCTGCTAGAAATGTTCCCAAGGAGCATAGTTCGCCGTTGAAAATCTCGCACACTTTCGCGATAATTTTCGAGAGGTTCTCGGGTGCTCCCACGTAGCCTTTCATGGTTAAAGGGTAGATCAATTTCTGCAACAAATAAAATGAATATATATATATATATATATATATATATATATATATATATATATATATATATATATATATATATATATATATATATATATATATATATTTATATATATATATATATATATATATATATATATATATATATATATATATATATATATATATATATATTGAACAAGGAAATTAATTCAAATTCGTGGTTTCAGGGCTGCCACCTTTCGCGCTACTGCGCCAAACCATTAGACTATAATTATGAGGCAACTATATCTCATAGCGTTGAGACTTCGACTTTTTCTCTTCATCGCCATTCGGTTAGAAATTTAGACGTGACATGTACTATTTTAAGACAGGCATAAACCGCAAACAGTTTATTCGTTCACGCTACATACCAAATAGCACTGCTTGAAAGTCGGTATTTCCTTTGTGTGTGTGTGTGTGTGTGTGTGTGTGTGTGTGTGTGTGTGTGTGTGTGTGTGTGTGTGTGTGTGTGTGTGTGTGTGTGTGTGTGTGTGTGTGTGTGTGTGTGTGTGTGTGTGTGTGTGTGTGTGTGTGTGTGTGTGTGTGTGTGTAGGTGGCCACTTCCGTCAACTGCAATAGATTGCCATTTAGCGTAGCATACTTATAGTACATCAAATGGTATTTTTGTTTTGGGCATTGACAAAAAACTATGAACCATCTATCCAAACGGAACCATGATTGGATGCGAAGCAGCAGCGGTGCGCTCGGCGTCGACCCGGTCGAAACGGGCGTCGACGTGGGTGCTGGCAGAACAGTTTGAAGCGAAACTCGGTGTAGCGTTCACTGGAATAAACGTTTGTTTTAAACGCAAGGACACGGGAGGAGGGACGCGTTAAAGACGTTTGCGTTTGGCTTCTTCGGCTCGCGTCTCGTCGGTGTTATCCGCGCGCCGTCTGTATTCCCGAACGCGACCGGCATTCTTGACTCGCATCTCGTTGGTGTCGTAGGTCTTCCACTGCCGACGCTTGCGTTCGGCTTCCCTGGCTCGCGCCTCGTTGGTGTTGCAGGTGCGACGGTCGAGCTAGACGATGACGCGTGAGTGTGGACAGATGGAGAAGGGTGGCGCGTGTGGGGAAACGATGCCGACGTGAAGAGTGGGCTCGAGCGTTGCGAGCGGTGGAGAGGGTGAAGCGAGGGAGATGACACGCGGCGAGCGGCGATAGGCCAGGGAGCGAGTAACGTCACCGTCACGCGCGCGCACTGCGAGGGAAGGCGTGGCCTACTTGGCAACGCCCCGATGCGGAGGTACAGCGTTACAAAGGCTAGTCAATGAGCTGCTTCTCATCTAAAATTTCATAATCATGTGCCTAGTTAAACACGTGTCCTCGGCCTACGGCTTGATTCTGGTAAGCAATGAATAAAACCTGTTACACAAAATGTAATCTTTCAAGTAAGCGCTCTTGTGCCAGCTGCCGCTCGAGAAGGGCAGCTTTCTTATCGGGCGTACTGAAGGTCTTGCCCATCTTCATAAAAAGGCACGGCGAAGATATCTCAGCTCTTCGCCTGATTTCCGCCGCGTCGCTCCGTGCGCACAGCGTGGCCTCGCGTCGGTTGCCGCCTCTATGGTTCGTCTGTCCGGCCAGGAGGAGAAGGAAAAACTTTATTTATTAAAATTCGAGGGAGTAGGGAGGAGACAGGTTCGACGGGGGGCTGTTTGGCAGCCAGGGGGCCGCAGCACTAGCATACCAGTCCGTCAGCCTAGTGTGGATAGGCAAGTTTGTGCAAGTACCTCTCTCAGGCTTCTGCTGAGGGACATGGCTGAAAGAGAACCTCTGGGGCCGAGTCGCTGGGTCACTCCCATAATATGTAGTCTTGTCATGCCTGTGCTACTCCTCTGTTCCTACATTTATCCATTAATCCGGGCCCAAGCACTGACGCTAAGAAGGATCCAAGCTTATTGTGTACTCAGACAGCCGCAGTAACAAAAAAAAAAGATGAGAATTTCCATGAGTCTCTCAGGCCAAATCCACTCAGAAGGGCTTTAACTTAAAAATGCTGGCTGCGCCATCTGTGGGTGTATCTAGGCACAGGAACGTGACATGACAGGCAACCATTTGTCACCAGTACCACCTCTAGGACAATAAATGGATGAATTAGCTGAGTCCAGACCACGCGATGAGTTGGTCTGGGCTCGTCGAAACACTCACGGTAATCAAAGGTGTGAAGGGGATCCCAAGTGACAGAGGAGGTCCCATGTGGGAGACGTTTGCAACGGGACCGTAAGCCACAACCAGGTCGACCTGGAATAACAAACGAAAATAAGAAATAGCTAAAGTAAGCCAGATAATACAGAAACCTCGGCTATGTTAGGTTCCTTGTGTGAATGCTAGATGACCCTTGGATTATATGAAGACAATGTGATAACAGCGGTTGGCAAGCGTTAGTTAACAATTAGCGTCGCTTAGCAGACAGTCGCCAGTATTTAGCCAAAATTAGCTCATGTTGTTTTATGAATACGGTCAGTGCTGTTGTTATGACTCCTATACGCTCAACGAGTGCTGGTTGAGCGTATAGGAGCTCCGACTATTTTTTGCTGTAGGTAGAAGTGCGTTGGGGGCAGACCACTTGAACAGATGCACCTGGCATCGCACCAGACAAAACGTTAAGTGTTTCTCACTTAATATTGTGCTGTTATTTCCACAAGTGGATATTGCGTACTTTCGAGCGCAAAAGAAGAGTGTTTGTCTTGAAACGTTGTGGAGAATATTTCATTACATCTTGATGCCAAATCTGGAACGCAATGGCAGAACAATGGATACCCTGGTGTTTAAATTTGTCCATGCTCACTTCTAGCGCCAAGTCACAAAAAGATTTCGCAATAATGTTTGCGTACAAGAAAATGAAGCAAGCTTCAATTAGACCGCAACTTCATATCACCCTGTTTTACATTGAGCAAAACAAGCCTCGTGAGTCTCAAGAACGTGATTTATCCGAAGCAGAACCGAAGCCTGTACTTCCCATAATTCCCATGCTGGTAAAAGCGCTGCTGAGGGCGCCCGCGTAGACACTAGCGCCAGAGTTCCCTCTAGGCATTATTGTATGAAACTCAATGGCTTCCGGTAACTTGAGCTGCGTCGTGCGAAATTTCCTCAGGTGGATACGTGCCGTAGGAATTCGGCAAGCCCCACTACCGAACGTCAAATGAAAACACTGCCCGACGAAGTGAAGCATGTTAAAGATAGCGGAATAAAGAAATGGAAAGAAAGCAAAGATAGATAGATAGATAGATAGATAGATAGATAGATAGATAGATAGATAGATAGATAGATAGATAGATAGATAGATAGATAGATAGATAGATAGATAGATAGATAGATAGATAGATAGATAGATAGATAGATAGATAGATAGATAGATAGATAGATAGAGAAGGCGATAGAAAGACCAAAATAAAAATACAAATGCAGAGAATCAAGAGATATCCGGATAGAAACACACACGAAGAAGGTATCGAAAGAAAACAGACAGCAAGACAAAAAAAGAAAGAAAAAGAAGCAAGAATATATATATATAAATATATATATATATATATATATATATATATATATATATATATATATATATATATATATATATATATATACATATATATATATATATAGAGAGAGAGAGAGAGGGGGGGGAGAGAAGAAATAATGAGACAAATAAAAAGAAAGGAGCAAGGCCAGTCAGCTCTGCTTTCCCTCTTGGCTTAGCACCACTAATGCGATTTTTTTTTATTTTGTGTTTTTCCGCGCACTCGCTTCGCTACTGTTCGCGCTCTAATGGCGATGAACGCTAGTATAGTATCCTTACTGACCGCTTCAGAATGGCGATATGTGCTTCAGTTATATGCAAGTACTTTCGCTGCGTCTTCATCCACAGCTCCAGCAGGTACCCACCTTTTCGTTGTACTCGGGTCGCGTGGACAGGAAAACCAAGCTGGCGGTGACGCCCTGCGACAAGGCGACGAGCGTCAGCCTTTCCGCGCCGGTGGCGTTGAGCACGTGATCGACAACGGCGGGAAAGTCGAAGCGGCCGATTTCGTCGAAGCTGCGCAGCGGAGTTGGAATCAGTGGGGGAGAAGCACCGACTTAGCGGGTACCTTTCAACAACGCTCCCGAGGAGGAGGCAGGAAACCTCCGTCTTAATTTCGGAGTCATTGTACACTATTATGAGTCTATGGTCACCACCTATATCCCGCCCCAGCCAAAGATTTGGTGAAAGGCGAACTAGCACGTCCTCCTGATGCTTCTCTACTACCGTCCTGATCTGCCTCGCTAATCGTGAAGCGTTGTGATCGTATGGCCAATTTAAGGTACCAGTACTGTGGCGGGGAAGGGCACATCTACCACATCGTCTGGGTTTGTCATCGGATACGAGCCCTAACCCTGCCCGAAGGGATTGGGAAACGGCCCTGACAGGGTACTCAGACATTCAGGTCCAGAACGCCTTGGTCCAGAGTGCCATGGCTGGCGGCTTCGCCCTTTAGGGTTCCTGAATAAAGGGACACCACGCAGCATGTAGAGTCCTGTGTGGCTCACTCCTCTCATTGATGGGGGAAAATGTTAATTTAAGGGCTCGATTGTTTTGTTAGTCACAGCATTAATTACAACAAACAGACCACAATGCCAGGGAAAGTATAGGGGATGTTGTTATAAGTAATTCTAATGCAAATGAGATAGAGTGATATGTGGGGTTTAATGTTTCAAAACCACCGTATGATGACGACTGAAAATAGCGCTAAGAAACGAGGACACAAGAAGAGGACACACAGCACAGGCGCTAGTGCTTGTGCTGAGTGTCCTCTTCTTGTGTCCTCGTTTCTTAGCGCTATTTTCAGTCGTCACAATGCACCAACAAGCCCAAATTTCGACAGTGCACCGTATGATTATGAGAGACGCCACAGTGGAGGGCTCCAGAAGTTTCGACCACCTGGGGTTCTTTAACGTGCGACTAAATCTGAGCACACGGGCCTACAACATTTCCGC